ATTTATTAATTAATATTATTTGTATATTTTTTTTTTTTTTTTTTTAGAATAACAAACACCATGGGGAAAATGGAAAAAGAAGCAGAATCGAGTGGTGAAATGATGAAAGATTTTAACAGCAGGTAATCAAAAATACAACATATTTGTTTTCTCGATTTTCATGATTATTGTCTTATTTGTTTCTTCTCTATTATACAAAAACAAAAAAGAAATGTCACTTTATTCGTAACATAAAAAACGTATTTCCCTAATTAAATAAGATCTTGATTTATCGATAGGATATCTCGTGACAAGGGGGGTTTAGATAGTAAATTACGTTTCTCGATCAGATCAAAAAATTATCGGAACGATCGAGACATGTAAATCGATTCGGTAAAGATGTGTTCGACAATGTTTTTCTTTTTTTTTTTTTATTGTTTTTTGTTTGTTTTTTTTTTTTCGGATTTTGTCTTCTCTCTTTCTTTTTTTTTTTATCGCGTAGAAAACGTACGATAAATAGAACATATTTGTTCGGCGATTAAAACTCGATAATATCCGAGCAATTAATTCCCATCTTTGGTTCTTTCCTTCATCCTGTTTTTTTTTTTTTTTTCATTTAGCACAAAAATCGCAGCGATCTCGATCGGCGATTACAACGAGAAGGATGAATTTTACGATCCCTTCGAACACAGAGACAAAAAACATACCAATTCGTAAGTTTCTTTTTGATTTTTATTCAAATATTTCATTTTGTATTTTCGTGGAAAGGAGAACACTCGTCTATATGATTGAAATTATGATTTTTAATGTAAATTCTGATTGCAAGATATTAAAAATTGTTTCAAAAAACTCGTCGCGTATAATTAAATTAATTTATAATAATAATTAGCATTTAAATACAATTCATTTCAAAAAGAATGTATAAGTTTCTCTATGATTTTTATTCAAATATTTCATTTTGTATTTTCGTAGAAAGGAAAACACTCGTCTATATGATTGAAATTATGGTTTTTCATGTAAATTCTGATTGCAAGATATTAAAAATTAATTGTTTCAAAAAACTCGTCGCGTATAATTAAAATAATTTATAATAATAATTAGAATTTAAATACAATTCATTTCAAAAACAATGTATAATTATACTAAATTATATATTTACTAATTAGTAATGTATCTACAAAATAAAAGCTTCTCAATTCAATCATATACACGTATGATTTAAAAATTGTCGAGCTTGTCGTTGTTATTTAAAACATTAAAAAAGAAAAAAAAAAGAAAAACGAATAAACAAAAAAATTGTATGAATATTAAATGTCTAATTTTTAGTGACTTGGGATCGTTAGCCCATCTTTTGAAATCATCCCTCGGTACCGGTATTTTAGCGATGCCTAACGCGATTAGAAATGGTGGTCTAATAATTGGTTCATTTGGGACCATAATAATTGGTATCATTTGTGCTCATTGCGTACACATACTCGTCCGTTCCTCTCACATACTTTGCAAACGTACAAAAACACCAAAGATGACGTATGCCGAGACAGCCTATGCAGCATTTTTGTGTGGACCTAAAGCTTTAAGACCCTGGGCAAATGTCAGTAAAATATTCGTAAACATAGCACTCTCAGCAACTTATATAGGTGGTGCATGTGTTTACGTTGTTTTCATTGCTACGACGATTCATCAGGTTAGTTGGATTGATTTAATCATCACTTTGTATAAATGATCTAATCGTTTCTATCCTGCACATTATAATTATTTAATAATGTCGTTGAAAAATACTGCATCGAATTAAATTTATTTCGCTATTTGTTTACTCGCATTTATACATTGAAAAATAATAATTATATTCTAATGAATTAATATTTTCAGATTGCCGAGCATTATAATGGAGCTAACACGATAAGCAAAGTATCCGTAATGTTAGCATTGATACCAGCAGTTATTTTATTAGGACAAGTCAGAAATCTCAAGTATATGGTACCATTCTCGATGGTTGCCAACATTAGTATGTTTGTTGGTTTCATTATGACTCTTTATTATATCTTCAAGGATATCAAACCTATCGATAAAGTCAACATGTTCCCGGAAATTCAACAATTGCCGATATTCTTTGCTACTGTCGTATTCGCCATTGAAGGAATCGGTGTCGTAAGTTTTTCCATTAGTTTTTTTCCGATTAAAAATGATCTTAGCACGTCTTATGCAATTTCTTAGAATGCGTGTGAGAATCTGATAAGAAAAAAAAAGAAAATAAATAAAAATAAAAGTAAAGACAACCGAGACAAAGAATTTTGATTAATAGATTTATTTGCATTAATCACGTTTATTCGATTATTAGGTAATGCCAGTGGAAAATAACATGGAAAAACCGCAACATTTTCTCGGTTGTCCTAGTGTACTCAACATAACAATGTCCATAGTAGTTACCCTTTATGCAGTGATTGGTATCTTTGGTTATCTGGCTTATGGGGAATACACTGAAGCTTCTGTCACGTTAAATATTCCAGTGGGAGACATGTAAGTTGTTTTTTTGAAATGTTGCTATTAAAATCAATATATTCAAATGATTCATTTATTTTTTTTTTCCCCGATTGCTCTACGAGATTTTATATTGTAATGAATTTTTTTTTATTTAAATTGTACATTGAAATCTGTTTACTATTAAAAGATTCTGATTCGATGAATAAACATAGACGACAGACGTTGTTGAAGTTGAATTCTTCAACAATGATTCTCATTAATTTTCCATTGAAAGATTTTTATAAATGACAGAAATTTATTTATCGAAATATTAATCAAAAATATTATTTTGTTTGTTTGTTTAAGTATGGGTCAAGTGGTTAAACT